TAAGCCAGTTTTTTCTTGGTGGGTTGAACTATGGTCTTGGTTTCCGTCACTAAATAAGGAAACAAACAAATATTGGTCATTATGATATATGTTAGTAATGTAAACATCGTCATCGTTGTCTAGCATGTGTTGTGTTCTTATTTAGTGATGATCTGTTGAATACTTCGTGGGGTCGTAACTTGTAAGAACGTGAGGTAGGACCGTGTCAGAGCGTAAGGTAGGACCGTGTCAGTGCGTAAGGTAGGACCGTGTCAGAGCGTAAGGTAGGCATCTGTCAGAGCTTAAGGTAGGACCGTGTCAGAGCGTAAGGTAGGCATCTGTCAGAGCGTAATGTAGGACCGTGTCAGAGCGTAAGGTATTACCGTGTCAGAGCGTAAGGTAGGAAATCTGTAGGAGGGTAAGGTGGGANTGTGTCAGAACGTGATGTAGGAATGTGTCAGAACGTGATGTAGGAATGTGTCAGAACGTGATGTAGGAATGTGTCAGAACGTGATGTAGGAATGTGTCAGAACGTGATGTAGGAATGTGTCAGAACGTGATGTAGGAATGTGTCAGAACGTGATGTAGGAATGTGTCAGAACGTGATGTAGGAATGTGTCAGAACGTGATGTAGGAATGTGTCAGAACGTGATGTAGGAATGTGTCAGAACGTGATGTAGGAATGTGTCAGAACGTGATGTAGGAATGTGTCAGAACGTGATGTAGGAATGTGTCAGAACGTGATGTAGGAATGTGTCAGAACGTGATGTAGGAATGTGTCAGAACGTGAGTTGGGAATGTGTCAGAACGTGATGTAAGAATGTGTCAGAACGTGATGTAGGAATGTGTCAGAGCGTGATGTAGGAATGTGTCAGAACGTGATGTAGGAATGTGTCAGAACGTGATGTAGGACCGCGACAGAATGTGAGGTAGCTCCATGTCAGAACAAGAATATGAATGTGTCAGAAAGTGATCTAGGACAATGAGGAACGTGAGGTAGGACCCTGTTGGAACAATAGGTAAGATAGTGTCATAAAGTGATGCAGGACCATGTAAGAATGAGAGGTATGGCTATGTGCTAACTTGAGGTTAGACACGTTCACAACGTATTGTAGATCCATCTCAGAACGTGAGGTAGGACTGTGTCAGAGTGAGAGGTAGCACTGTGTCAGAGCGAGAGGTAGGACTGTGTGGAAATGGGAAGAAGAATCGCGTGTGAAGTTGATGTAAGACCGTGTTCTAAAGTGTTGTAGAACATTGTAAAATGTGAGCTAGGACTGCGTCAGACATATATGTAGGACCTTGTTTTACGTGAGGTAGGACCTTGTTTTACGTGAGGTAGGACCCTGTTTTACGTGAGGTAGGACCGTGTTTTACGTGAGGTAGGACCTTGTTTTACGTGAGGTAGGACCGCGTTTTACGTGAGGTAGGACCTTGTTTTACGTGAAGTAGGACCATGTTTTACGTGAGGTAGGACCCTGTTTTACGTGAGGTAGGACCGCGTTTTACGTGAGGTTGGACCGTGTTAGAACGAGAGGTAGGACCGTATTAGAACGAGAGGAAGGACCGTGTTAGAACGAGAGGTAGGACCGTGTTAGAACAAGAGGAATGACCGTGTTAGAACGAGAGGTAGGTCCGTGTTACAACGAGAGGATGGACCGTGTCATAATATAATGTATAAAAAGCTAAAATAATATGTTTTATCAAAAGAGAAAAAAAACACGTTGTTTTAAAGTATGTAACATTACATCAGATTAACGTGACTTACTTACCAGCAAACAACAACGTGATAACATTTAAGACATGCATTTTTTTTTTTTTTTTGACTTCCTTAATTTTTTTTGTCGGGTTAAGTTATTGATGGTAAATTACAAAAGAGAAAAAAAAAAACTTGTTTTAAAGTATGTAACATTACATCAGATTAACGTGACTTACTTACCAGCAAACAACAACGTGATAATATTTAAGATATGCATTTTTTTTTTTTTTTTTGACTTCCTTAATTTTTTTTGTCGGGTTAAGTTATTGATGGTAAATTAATTTTGTTATGGGTGCCTATTTTATTCTGAATGTTACACATACACCTTAACAATTAACTGTGTAATGTCACCTTTCATTTGATGGGGTAAACAGTAGATGATATATGTTAAATGTAGTAGACAGTAAACCATAAATATATCGCTAAAAATTCTAAAAGTGGAATGTAAAGTCTGAGTAAGCAAAGAGGTCTAAATACTAAAGCATAAAATCTGAATTTAACACCAAAAAAAAAATTAAATTAGGAATCTTCTTTCTTATAAAAACGAAATATTTTTCTTCCCCAATGGAAATATTAACTTACATTCTACAACATCCAATAATCCGAAAACCTTGGAAGTGGTCAAGGTGTGAAGGGAAATATACAATTTAATTAGTCAATATTGGATCATTTGTCACATGCAGAAATGTTTTTAGAGAGTCCGCCAAAATTAAGCTTAATTCTAAGATGAAATCTCAAAGATTTGTACGGGAATAATTTTTATGATTTGTAGAAATAGCCCAAAAAGGCGTGTAAATAAAATTGTATAGGAGCTGCTCATTCCTGCCCAAGACAATCAGGGACTGGAACAATCTTTCAAAAGGAACGGTTGAGGCGACAACACTAGACACATTTGTGTCCATTGCCTCAAGCCTTTAAACCCCTAGTGCATGATTTCCTCATCATCACCAGTAACAGAAACATTGCAAGTCCTATCTACATGCATAGGAGCCAAAATGATCAATAAATGATCGTGGGACGTTAAGATATAGAAGAAGAAGAAGTTTCAATTAGTTGTGATCTTTAATTTTATTTGGCACAAATATTATATGTTAAAAGTAGTGAAAACTTTATCGTGTTTTTTTTTCTTCTGATTATGTTTTACTAATCTCACCCAATTAAGTTCAAGGTTACAGGCAAAGAAACACAAACACGATGAAACACAATAGATTTCAACAACAGAGTTTACTATACTTACACCATCCAAAACACGCTACTTATATTACATTAGAATCTCAACAACAATCAGAACATTTAATAGTTGACATTAACTAACATAATGAAATTTCTTACAACTGAATTATAAATGTAAAAAAAAATATTACATTGAACATTTGTTTGTAAAAAATACACATGTTCTTATATTAGACTATTTAAGGTTAACCCTGTATTTGGCAATCATGTATGTCTTTCACAACAAGGAATCAAATCCGGCTGATAATCTGAATCGAATTTTCATAATTGCGTCACGCAAAAGTACCGACAACTCAATTTTTCATTCACCTTAGGCAACAGAGGTCTATTCGTCATGTTAAACGAAAATAAATAGATACAAATTGATAAAGTGAATAATTGGGGGATACTTTTTTAAAGTAGCCATTGCAACCAGTGAAAAATCCTCATCACCACCAGGCACAGAAACATTTCAAATCCTTCTGCCTAAATATGCATAGGAGCCAAATGATACATTGATCGTGGGCCCTTAACATAATGAAATATAAAAGAAGAAGAAGAAATAGCTATGTTAACATCAAGACCATTCTTTCAGACTAAATTAGTTTAAAATGCTGCATTGCCGTTCCCATAGCATTCGTAGAAATGTAAATAATTTAGACAAAAAATATATTTCAAAAGCAGAATTATTAATTAATGATATTGCTTTTTTAAAATCGTGATATAGATTTCATGACGTATGGACCTATTTGAATCGCCACCATATACGGGCATTTAATTTTTAGTCGCTTTGCCTCAAGAAGTTATCAAAAAATAAATTGTTGCATGGATTGACTATATTTAATTTGAGTCTGGAGTGCCTAAGCTTTGTATTGTAAATTAATAGTTAAACGATCTTTATGATTTTATTAAACAAAACTAATATGTATAAGAATGAGCTAGGGTGACATAACGCCAAAAGGGAGATACGATTTAAGTACGTTCGGATTCCTAAAATTATCACAGTTATTTTCTATTATTTTACGGAATTAGAATAAAATTAAATGCGCAAAAATATTTTAAATCCGCTTTTATTTTAGCGAAAATGTAAGTATTATTATTATAAATAACAAATACATTTAAAGAAACAACAATGGAATTATATTAATCATTTTATCCAAATTTAAAGCTATGAAAACAATAATTATTCAAAATATTATGATCTAAGAATTGCACCTTAATCAAATTTATCGGGAAAACCCAAACATCTGTTGTTTTAGTGCGAATTTTAGTGCGTTGTTAATAATGCAAAATAAAAATAAATTAAATTTGATCTAAATAATTACGCAAATGAAGTCATTGTCAATGTTTTGACATAAATGAGAATGTATTTTGCACTTCTTAAAAGAAAAAAAAAGGTATACAATAGATTGCGTTTTAAATTGCTAAAGTCTTCTTAAATTAAATAAACCTTTTGCATTTAATACTCTTTTACTTTTTGTTTAAAAAAAACAAAAACAAATTTCATTAAATTGATCAAGTAGTGAAAAAAGTACACTTTAAATATGCTTTTAATAAGCAACTGCCGTGTAATGCAATCAGTGCAGTGACACTACATATCCAAATAGCATTCACTAATGCACTTATCACTCATCCAAATGAGAACAAAGCATGTGAAATGCAACATCGATAGATAGATAGATAGATAGATAGAGAGATAGAGAGATAGATAGATAGATAGATAGATAGATAGATAGATAGATAGATAGATAGATAGATAGATAGATAGATAGATAGATAGATAGATAGATAGATAGATAGATAGATAGATAGATAGATAGATAGATAGATAGATAGATAGATAGATAGATAGATAGATAGATAGATAGATAGATAGATAGATAGATAGATAGATGTACAGAAAATCTGACAAAAAGACAGACAGACAGACAGAATGACCAACAGGCAGACCGACAGACCCACAGACAGTCTGACAGACAGACCAAAAGACAGACAGACCAACAAACAGACAGACTGACAGACTGATAACTGAGAAAAACAAAAACTACAATGTTGCGGCCTCGTAACAAGGAAACAAGGGCTTGCCAAAGAAATATTGCAGGCCACCACAAAAGGAAGGAGAAGAAGAGGAAGACAAAGAAAAAGATGGGAGGAGAACATCAAAAAGAGTGGACAGGACTAGCACTGTTCGATGCTGTGCATTGTGCAGAAGACAGAGACGATATGAGGAGGATAATTCGCATGTCACCTGTGTCGCTACAACGGTCCAAGGACTAAGGGGCATGATGATGCTGATGATGATGATGAGGTAAGATGTGATACGGCTCATTGATCACAAGCTATTGGCAATTTGATGTGGTTTTAAAATTATATATTTTTTAATTTTGTAAATAAAAGTGACGCAATGACACCACATTAATCTATAAAAAATCAAAACAATGTGCGCATATCGAATTTACGTTAAAAAATTATACATTTTTGAAAGGGTGCTCATTTTGCTAAAAAAATTGCTTTCATTTTTTTTTCATTTAATCAAGTTTTCACGAAGCTACAATTTTTTAGAAATTATAACACTTATTTTAACTTCCCCCCAAATTATATCTCTTAGCCTGTTTATAAATATTAGAGAGCTTTAAAGGTTTCGGTTTAAAAATAAATGGCATAGACATAATATGCACAAAATAAAGAAGGCGAAAAACTAAAATTAGAGTATGTAACAAAAATCATTTTTAAAAAATCAATCATTCATAAAAAAAACAACTAATTGTTTGCTTAAAATTATATAGTATATATATATGAAGCAACTACTTTCAACTCTTTAATATATATTTTTGTTATTTTTTATCCAGAAAAAAATATATAATTTTATTTAAATGTATGTGTATATCGCAACTATGGTTACCTAAATAACAAAGTGTACCGGAAATTTCCGTTATTATGAAATAAAAACATAATTTTTCGTAGGAATATTTAACGCAACAAATTCAAATTCTTGAGTATTTCAATTGTTTGTATGTATTATTTTAATGAAAATTGTTAACAGTACACTTATGTGAAGCTCTGTATTCAAATAAACCGTAAATAAATATATGTTATACACATTTTTTACCTTACTTGAACTTAACAATACGTACTTTAGTTTCGAAGAGTCCAGTCACAGACACAATCAAAGCCATAGTAAAATATTTATTTGAACGTACTATCTAATGCACTCTACGCAGAATTTAATATTTAAGCTTCTGGTAAATTCAGTTTCACTTTTTATTTTATTTACTTACAACAGCAGACTGCCAGTCGGTACCACTAAAACAGCAGAACACTGATTAAAACTAACGGTAATAAAAAGCTAATAATCTATTACTATTAGTATTTTGCAAACGTAATATAGGATGACATTCCTACTGTTTACATTAATGTTGTTTAAAAAATTAAATAATACAATAAAAAAATTGGCTCTCAAAACATTAAAATTGTTAACTATTAAAAAAAAAACATATGAACTATTTGACATATTGAATATTAAGTAAGCTTAACTTTTTTATCTCATTTAGATTTATTTTTAAATAATTAAGAAATGTCTTTAAAGTTTTATGTTAAATAACATAAATATAGTTGGTATTAAATTTTGAAAATATAATTCTGATTCAATTTAGATCTAATTATTTCAGCATTGTATTAAATACCTTTAAAAAATTTAATGGAAAATTTAACAGAATTTACATAGCATGGCAAACAAAATTCAGGATGACAACCGATATCTTAGGATTATCAAGCAACAGCTGGAAACACTTAGGGAAGAGAGCAAACATCTACATCAAGAGGTGGACACTTATTTTAAGCAAGTAAGTATATTTTATTTGTCTAGTTATGTACAGTGCAAAATATTTTTTTTCAAACTCCTTACAGTTACAGCTTAGCCTCTTTAAATCATACTTCATTCTACTCACAGCAACATTGGAATATTTGTTGAATTACAGCACTAACAATAGTTGAGACTAAATAAGAAGGCTGAACATGAATGCGTTTTCTTAGCTTCAACGTAATAGAAACTATGACAGTCTTTGTTTTGCATTTTTAGCGATAGTTGACTGATGTTTACAAAAGATTTCATTTTATTTTAAAATTAGCTTTGATTTCTAAAACAAAAAAAAAGAAACAAAAACTACCATTTTTTAAAAAAAAATCCATTTTTATTTGACAGGTGGAAAATGAAGTGCAACAATGGGAAATTAAACCAAGAAGCTCACTGGCCAGCTTTGAGAAAATTAATAAAACTATCCAACAGGCCATCGCACATGTTGTGTCAAATGCCTTACACTTTACAGGTTCACTTTCAAAATATGCAGTAATTCTTGGATAAATATGTGCTAACTTTAAATGTAAAATAAATAATATCCATTTTCAGTTCTAAACATTTGAATGTTTTTGGAATTAATATTTGATAGTTATATATATCTTTAAATGTTAATATTTGTTGGTGTTTTTAATTTATATGGACTCATACAATTTTAAACTTAAGCGTCTGCCATACACATTTATGGTTTGAAAAAAAAAATTTATGATGATTTGTGAAAAAAAACTCTTCAATTTTATTTATTGACCAATGATTCAGTTTACATCTCATATATGTAGGTTGTTGTGTTTCAATATATTTGGTCTAAACGTCCATAAAATACATATTCACACCTGCACATTGTATTAACTAAATAAATACAATGTCTTAAGTACTTATCAATCAATATTTGTCAACATTAAAGGTGAAGATGATGAAAATGATGCGACTATCACCACTATACAACAGGAAAAAACAAGAATTAAGACGAACGAATGCATTGACCAGGCAGGCTTACAAGAACAAAGTGGTGTTTAAGATAGTCTAGAAACTACTGAAATTATCTAAATTATCTTTCTTTTTTTTTTATCAAATGTTATTTAAATTTAAGTTAAACATTTTTAAGTATACTTTTTTTTTTCAAACGTTCAGATAAGCAAAATATTTTTTTTCTTCTGTTTTTGAGTCCGTATACTGTAAGAAATAATGATACTATATTTGTAAATAAAATTATTGCTCTCATAAAATCACATTTATCTAAAAATAATATAAATTACATTTACCCCATTAATTCTAAAAAAAAAACATATCCACAGTGGTTGATGTATATCCCAAAATGGATTTATATTAAGGCCTATGCATGATTTTCTATGTGTATTAAATTAATACATTGGGATAGCGTTTAAATAAATGATGTTATTCTTCTAGGATGCTAAATCACTGCTAGGCAAAATTTATTATACTCTTTTATTTCTTTGACTTTTTTTGAACATTTTAGCCAAACATTGTTGTAAAATATTCCCTAAAGTAAACAAATTGTACGTCTTAAAGTTTTAAATATAACCGCATGCACCAAAAGCTCATTATCTACTTACCTCTGTATTTTGTGTAGGTTTTTGTAATTGTTTATTTTATTTCGAAATGATTTGATAGTGCTATATTGAAAATGTAATTAATAACTTAATTTTTATTTTGATTTGAACATTTCTTTTTAGATTCAAAAGACTCTAAGAGTGTTACAATCAAAATCTCATTGCTAGAAGAAGCATTCCTTTCTCTGAAAAGAACAACCCAAGATATTCAATTAAAACAAGAGAATGATGACATAAAGTTAAAAGACTTCTCAACTCAACACGAAGCTTTAAACAAAAGACTGGATATTGTCGAAGAAAAAATGTTAAATTTAAAAAGAGATTCAGAAAATAACATAAATGAGCAGTCAGAAAAAATCACTGCTATTTCAACATCTCTTCAACGTTATATTAATGTGCAGTCAGATAGAATAACTGCTATTTCAACATCTATTCAACATAGCAACAAAGAGCAGTCAGATAAAATCACTGCTATTTCAACATCTATTCAACACAACATCAACGAGCAGTCAGATAAAATAATTGCTATTTCAACGTATCTTCAACAATTGGAGAAGAAAGGCAATGTCAGACTGGATACACTTGAAAATCAAATGAAAACATTCATTGCGTCAACAGATGTCACAACAACACACATCAGCTCGATCAGATTGTGTGCCAATGATGCTGTCAGGTCTATTCAAGGCTTATCTTACAGAACTCAAATTTTAGAACAGAAAAATCTAAATGTTTGCGAAGAGATGAAGAAATTGAAAGATTCTCTCAATATTTTATCAGCAGATCAGACAATAAAAGTAGCTGAAAGAAATATGATAGAAAAGGTAAAACAATATAACATAATCCCCGTAAGAATGAATTATTTTTCACCCTTGAAATTTTAAAGAAAATTTTGAAAAAATATGACAATATGAATAAAATGTATCTTTATTAATTGTCTCCTTTAGAAAACTTCTCTCACAATAGTAGGTCACCAACAAAGCTACTTTAAATAAATCCATAAAGATTGTTTCGTGATTGTTAATTCAGTGTATTTTAATTTGTTCACATTTCCACATCAAGAAAACACATCTTACAAACATTTAAGAATGTTTTATTTTTCATATATATATATACTTGTGGGTGTATTTTAAAATGATAGTAAATCAAATAAATTTATTATTCACAATATAAGTTGAGTTCAATCAAAATAAACTCATGAATTTGAAATTTTAATATACTAATGCATTGATCCCTTTTAAAAATATGTTTGTAGTTACCAACATAAAAGTATCGGAATAAGTTGTCTATTATATATACTGTAATTACACACCTCTGAATAAAGTATAAAGAGACAAACTAAAGGCAAGTGTGAGTCTTTTTTTAAGTTATAATGTATGCTTTAAGGTATTTGTATATATTAAAATCTGTTGAACTATAAACATACTCTTTGTTTAATAGGACTTTTTAATGTATCAACATTTATTTCCCAATCTTTTTTGGCCGAGTCAAAATTATCGTCACTTTACTTTTGCCTTTTTATTTATTGTTATTGTATTTTTAATTGATAGATAATGGCCCTTCAATCTGAAGTCAACAAATGCAAGAAAATAATGACACAGATTCGTAAGTTTAATTTTATTTCACGAAGCAAATTTACATACATAAGCTTATTAGATGATAGTTTTTGCAGCTAATATCATCCATTCTCCCCTTTCCAATTGAAGGGTTCAATGGCATTTCATTGTCAAATGATCATTATGTATCAACTAAACAACATAGATAAATGGGTCTGCAGACCTTCTGCCTGGACCCAATTAATTAGTATTTCTTAGCAGTCTCGCCATGATATTATTCAAGTCAGGGATTAACAAAATGATTTAGTTCAAATGTCTGCAATTATTTAGTTTGAGAAAGAAATTATCCGGTTAGACGTTATGGGGAGCATTATAATACAAATGATTATCTCAATTATTTATTATTACTAACACTTTGTTTATTCCATTATTCCATAACAAAGAAACACATGCACAACTATCTACTGTAGGATTCTACGCGTGGACACAGTTTGATCCAACACCAGACAAAGGCATTGTGAATAGATTTACAACTGGGCAACATAACGATACCTTACATTTTAGTCTGGATGATGGAATTTTCACAGCTCCACAAAATGGACTGTACCTTATAAGTATAACCGTGAAAGGCGAAGTTAATAACTCGTACAGTATTAACTGCTACCGGCAGATTGTTCAACCTGGTGCATCTGATAATAGTTACATTAATGTTTGTTCTATCATTGGCAACCACACGATTACAACATGTACAACAATGACAAATGGTGAACAGCTTTACTTAGAAGGGAATGGAAAACCTTCTGATTGTTCCATGTCAATTTTCTTTACGTGCTATCTCATTAAAGAATCTACTCTCTATTGTTAAAAAAATGGAATTAGTTTCATATGAAAATGATTGAGCAGGATTATTTTTTTTTTAATTATAAAAAAATTTACGCGTAAAATCTTTATCAGAAATAAAATAAATAATTACAAAGAGAAATAATTGGTGTTCAAGTTAAACCCTGTCAAGTGTGTGCCCCGAACTTAATAATTTTTTTCTAGTAGCTACAACGCAACGAAAACATATTTTATACTAAAGTTTCTCTACACATAATTTTAGAAATTGGTAATTTATGTTACATTTTCATGACTTTAACGTATATTTTAAAAAAAAAATAACAATATTAATATGTTTTTAACAAAATGTTATCACCTATAAATAATTGTGTATAAATGAACAGAATGTTATCAACTATGACCCATTTTGAATAAATAAACACAAAATAAATTCAACAGAATTTTTTTTTTTGCAATGAGAATTTCCTATGTCCATTTATTTTATTTTTTAAAAAAATCGATTGAAAAAAACTTATGATTTACTTTCGTTTGCAGTGCCATATAATAGTTCATCATCTTCTTTAATCAGATAATATTTAGCTCGAGTGGCATGAGTCATTATGATATTTTAGAAATTGGGCAAACAAATTCATACCTGTCGTTATTTTGTATTCCTTTGAAAGAGATTCTCACACATCTTCCTTGAGTTACACTATTACAAAATACAAAATAAAATATAGTGATTAATATCAGGCTTAAACTCTAGACAGGCCGGTATTATCGCAGATAACAACGTAAGCATGTACAACACCATGTTATGCATTGGGCCAGTGTGTCTCATTAAGCGTGTAATCATTTACAATGTCATGTTATGCATTGGGCAAGTGTGTCTCATTAAACGTGTAATCATTTACAATGTCATGTTATGCATTGGGCAAGTGTGTCTCATTAAACGTGTAATCATTTACAATGTCATGTTATGCATTGGGAAAGTATTTCTCATTAAACGTTTAATCATTTACAATTGTATGTTATGCATTGGGAAAGTATGTCTCATTAAACGTGTAAACATTTACAATTGTATGTTATGCATTGGGAAAGTATGTCTCATTAAACGTTTAATCATTTACAATTGTATGTTATGCATTGGGAAAGTATGTCTCATTAAACGTTTAATCATTTACAATTGTATGTTATGCATTGGGAAAGTATGTCTCATTAAACGTTTAATCATTTACAATGGTATGTTATGCATTGGGCACGTGTGGCTCATTAAACGTGTAATCATTTACAATTTTATGTTATTCATTGGGCCAGTGTGTCTCATTAAAATATGAATTATTTACAATGGTATGTTATGCATTGGGCGAGTGTGTCTCATTAAAATATGAATCATTTACAATGGTATGTTATGCATTGGGAAAGTATGTCTCATTAAACGTTTAATCATTTACAATGGTATGTTATGCATTGGCCAAGTGTGGCTCATTAAACGTGTAATCATTTACAATGGTATGTTATGCTTTGGGCAAGTGTGTCTCATTAAAAGTGTAATTATTTACAATGGTATGTTATGCTTAGGGCAAGTGTGTCTCATTAGTTTCAGTGTGTAATCATTTAAAATATTATGTTATGCATTCGGCCAGTGTGTCGCATTAAACGTGTAGTCATTAACAATGCTAAGTTATGCTTCGGCGTGTGTGTCTAATTACAAGTGTAATTATTTTCAATGGTATGTTATGCATTGGGCCAGTTTGTCTCATTTAACATGTACGTTATGTTATGCAATTAACGACTTCTCCGTTGCACCATGTCAAAATTTGAGGGTGTTGGCGGTTGGGGGGGGGGGATTATTGACCCAGTAGTCCAATATATTTTTGTTTGAAAAATTCAAAGAAACACTATAGAGTCGCCTGCCTTCCAAATGTCCAGCCGACACAACATAATTAACTCTCATGGTGTCATTTGTTAATTATTTTAAAACGTACATATTTTTTTTAAAAGTTAAAATATTAAAGTCACTGCTTTTAAGATTCAGATTAAGAAAAAACAACAACAAATATTTTAATAACTTGATATGATTGTGAGTAATTTTTATTAATTCTTTTTATATACTACAATTAATTAAGCAATGAAACAATTTAAAATTTGTTTTGCAATCATTAATTAAAACAAAATTTATTATTAAAAACAATTTTTCTTCCCTTGAAATCCATTATTGTGTTACTAGGTACTTACCCTGTGGCCGAAGCCACCAAAACTCAAAAGAATATTGAGAAAGTTTTAAAAAACCCACTAAATTATAAAAAAAACAAAATTTAAATGTATGCAAAATATAGTCTTTACATCTGGAAAAATTGAAGGAAAAATATATATCGAGTAAAAATCAAACATATTTCAGCAGCTTTCCTTGCTGTGGGTTTTTTGTAATGTGTACTTTTATTTGTGTTGAATTCCTCGATCAGGACAATGCATTGTAGAGTTGAATATGTGAGAATACTGCAGTCTGGAGATCGATGTCGACGTGGTCAAATGTTTGTCCTTGTGATTTGTTTATTGTGATCGCATAAGCGGGAATTTTTATAGGAAATTGTCGACGCTTCAGAGTTAACGGTAATGTTGTATCTGAAGGAGCCAAATTCTTCTCGGAAAGAAAACAATATGCCCAAGGTTGCACTCTGAAATGATTTCAGTTGTTATTTAATTGTGTTTGAGATGTTTCACGATAATGCGAGTTCCATTAATACAGTCCTTTCTGTGGATTCAGGTTTCGCAGTAACATGACTATTATTCCAGACTTTTATCGCAGAACGGGAGGTGGCATTCCTGAGGGTGTTTGTTAATTTAGAAACTCAACTGGATAGTTCTGAAAATCACTAGGGTCTTCTGAGATTAGTGAATCAGAGAAGCAAAAATTGTTTGCGTGTCCTGGCATCAGTTCGATGATTATCCTATTCATCTCTAGTGTTTGATTATTTGTAAGCGCTATAAATACACGCTTCGCCAATTCATCAAGTGACATCTCAGAAATGTGCTTTCCGAAAATAGAAGCGATTATATCACTGGTTTCGATCATTGGTTGATGTATTTCAATAATGCAATTGTTGTAGATGCCTTCGAGTGGTGGATGATGACCCATGCCGATTTGCAGCAGCCATTTGTTGTGGTTTTCCTGGCCAGCACTTCGCATGTTGACTGTTAGAGGCAAATATAAAAAAGTGTTTCCACAAATTGCTTGATTTAATGCAGCTTCAAACAATATTAGTTCTTGTTCCTCTAACTACAACGTGCAGTGTTTGTTGAAAATCACCACCGACCACGAAAACCTTGACCCCAAATGGTTTTTCATTGCACATAATTTCATTCAAAATATTTGTTCAATACAACGCAACCAATGCTTTGAAGGCATTGTTATTTTGTCTTTAATATTTAGGGCAGTTTCACGCAGAATTTTCGATTCAGTTGACATTAAGATCATTGATGAAACTGACAATCTAGCTTTGGAACTGGCAGCTTAAAACCACTATGATCTGTTCTCCCACCTTTAAGCAAAGTTCCTGCTCTTCCTGTTGTAGCAAAAGGAAGCATTGACCCCTTCCACTAATAAAGGCCATCAATGTTTTTTAAAGAAATGTTTTTCCAGAACCTCCTGGTCCATCAAGGTAGAAGCATCTCTTGTTTAGATTATCATTGTCTACAGAACCAGTTATCAAGTAAAAGCATCTCTTGTTCAGATTATCATTGTCTACAGCACCAGTTATCAAGGTAGAAGTATATCTTGTTTAGATTAGCATTGTCTACAGCACCAGTTATCAAGGTAGAAGCATCTCTTGTTTAGAACATCATTGTCTACAGCATCAGTTATCAAGGTAGAAGTATCTCTTGTTTAGATTATCATTGTCTACAGCATCAGTTATCAAGGTAGAATCATCGGTTGTTTAGATTATCATTGTCTACAGCACCAGTTATCAAGCTAGAAGCATTTCTTGTTTAGATTATCATTGTCTACAGCACCAGTTATCAAGGTAGAAGCATCACTTGTTTAGATTATAACTATCTACAGCACTTGTTATCAAGGTAGAAGCATCTCTTGTTTAGATTATCATTGTCTACAGCACCAGTTATCAAGGTAGAAGCATCTCTTGTTTAGATTATCATTGTCTACAGCACCAGTTATCAAGGTAGAAGCATCTCTTGTTTAGATTATCATTGTCTACAGCACCAGTTATCAAGCTAAAAGAATTTCTTGTTTAGATTATCATTGTCTGCAGCACCAGTTATCAAGGTAGAAGCATCTCTTGTTTAGATTATCATTGTCTACAGCATCAGTTATAAAGGTAGAAGCATCTCTTGTTTAGATTATAGTTGTCTACAGCACCAGTTATCAAGCTAGAAGCATCTCTTGTTTAGATTATCATTGTCTATAGCATTAGTTATCAAGGTAGACGCATCTCTTGTTTAGATTATCATTGTCTACATCATCAGTTATCAAGGTAGAAACATCTCTAGTTTAGATTATCATTGTCTACAGCACCAGTTATCAAGGTAAAAGCATCACTTGTTTAGATTATAATTGTCTACATCACCTGTTATCAAGGTAGAAGCATCTCTTGTTTAGATTATCATTGTCTACAGCACCATTTATAAAGATAGAAGCATTTCTTGTTTAGATTATAATTCTCTACACCACCAGTTCTTAAGATAGAAGCATCTATTGTTTAGATTATCATTGTCTACAGCATCAGTTATCAAGGTAGAAGCATATCTTGTTCAGATTATCATTGCCTACAGCACCAGTTATCAAGGTAGAAGCATCTCTGTTTAGATTATCATTGTCTACAGCACCAGTTATCAAGGTAGAAGCATTTCTTGTTCAGATTATCAATGTTTACAGCACCAGTTATCAAGGTAGAAGCATCTCTTGTTTAGATTATCATTGTCTAAAGCACCAGTTATCAAGGTAGTAGCATCTCTTGTTTAGATTATCATTGTCTACAGCACCAGTTATCAAAGTAGAAGCATCTCTTGTTTATATTATAATTTTCTACAGCACCAGTTATCAAGGTAGAAGCATCTCTTGTTTAGATTATCATTGTCTACAGCACCATTTATCAAGGTTGAAGAATCTCTTGTTTATATTATCATTTTTTACAGCACCAGTTATAAAGGTAGAAGCATATCTTGTTTAGATTATCATTGTCTACAGCATCAGTTATCAAGGTAGAAGCATCTCTTGTTTAGATTTTCATTGTCTACAGCACCAGTTGTCAAGGTGAAGTATCTTTTGTTTAGATTATTATTGTCTACATCATCAGTTATCAAGGTAGAAGCGTCTCTTGTTTAGATTATCATTGTCTACAGCATCAGTTATCAAGGTAGAAGCATCTCTTGTTTAGATTATCATTGTCTACAGCACCAGTTATCAAGGTAGAAGCATCTCTTGATAGATTATCATTGTCTACATCATCAGTTATCAAAATAAAAGCATCTCTTGTTTAAATTATCATTTTCTACAGCATCAGTTATCAAATTAGAAGCATCTCTTGTTTAGATTATCATTGTCTACATCATCAGTTATCAAGGTAGAAGCATCTCTTGTTTTGATTATCATTGTCTACAGCACCAGTTATCAAGGTAGTAGCATCTCTTGTTTAGATTATCATTGTCTACAGCATCAGTTATCAAAGTAGAATCGTCTCTTGTTTAGATTATCATTGTCTACAGCATCAGTTATCAAGGTAGAAGCATCACTTGTTTAGATTATCATTGTCTACAGCACCATTTATCAAGGTTGAAGCATCTCTTGTTTATATTATCATTTTTTACAGCACCAGTTATAAACGTAGAAGCATATCTTGTTTAGATTATCATTGTCTACAGCACCAGTTATCAAGGTAGAAGCATCTCTTGTTTAGATTATCATTGTCTACAGCACCAGTTGTCAAGGTGAAGTATCTTTTGTTTAGATTATTATTGTCTACATCATCAGTTATCAAGGTAGAAGCGTCTCTTGTTTAGATTATCA